TAGAGAGTGGAGGGGGGGATAGGGATAGGGATAGAGGCGAGTACAGAGATGTTGAGACACGTACGGACGAGTTGGGGCGCGAAAGGCGGCCCTTTGGTGTTGAGGCAGCCGTAAGTGAAGTGAGAGATGAGGACAGGAGAGGGAGTGATAGGACAAGCGCGGCGGTTGATGCGAGACACAGGGACAGAAGGATGCAGGCCGATGGTATGCAGCGGAGTGATAATATGCGACACAGGGAGAATTTGCGACAGAGTGCCGATACGAGCCGTAGCGTGGTGGCAGGGGTCCGGAGGCTGAGTTTGGTCGCAGGGGATAGCCGGGAGGAAAGTGGGGACGAATTAACGGGGTGTGGAAATAGTGCGGGTGCTGAGAGAATAGTGGGCTTGGCTGAGCCGTTGGAGAGGGATGAGGGTATACGGATACCAAAGTACATCGGTACCGGAATAGGCCGAGCCGATCGATTGCGGGACGGGGCCCCGGTGAACGCTCGCACACCAGCTTATATGAGTCATGTACGGCATGATATTGGTGGGCCTATACCTTATGTTAGTGATGTGAGAGAGCCAGGGCATACGCCCAGCGCTACCGGGTCAAGGCGTAGTAGTATGATGAATAGTGGACAAATAAGGAGGAGTGATAGTCGATCTGGGGATATACGAACTGGAGATAGGCCATTCACTGGCGATGCAATAGGGCAAGGGAAGACACCCGGTTGTACGGGATCACGGCGTAGTAGTCTGGTGAGTAGTGGTCAATTAAGGAGGAATGGCACCACGCTCAAGCCGGAACCTGAGTTACTTAGCAACAGGCGAGAAGGGACTGGGAGCACCGAGTTGGCCAATGGACTGAGCACTCACGATCCGTTCGAGGTAGGTACCTGTGTCGTATTAGTAGTACCACTTGATTCTAAATATAGAATAGGGTGTGAGGATGGGTTTTAGCATTGAGTGGGTTAAAAAAGAGGGTATCCGATCCGAATTTCAAGGACTTGAAATCGGCTTTAGCATTCCACGGAGAGGTTGGTCTCCGGATTTAGGGAGTTTAGGTTTAGAGTTTTACGTCTCCTCGGGTGTTACCTACATAGTAAGTTGTGTGGGTAGCGTGGACCTTATTCAATGACTCAAGTTTGCTTGGATTAGGAGGCGTGTACATGTCATTCAATGGTACCAGTGTGCGTGGATGAGAGTGGTGTAAGACCTTCTGAGGCGTTGATATGATATGAGAGTACATGAACCCCGGGTTTTATATCCGTGATGTCGGATCGGTGCTCCTAGTCCGGGCCTGCTAAATAGGACCGGCCCTGTCTTGGAAATTGAGGTCAGTAGTTATCAGTACTGCTTGCGCAGGCGTGGTCTGTCCTGTTTCGTCACACAGTAGTTGCGAGTATTGGTGAGGGATTGATATGGGAGTGTATGAAACTCGGGAGATTGTACTACCCTTAGTCTCTTGTGTAGACAATGGCTTAAAACACTCTCAAGTGTAGGTAGACGAGGATACTACTACCTGTAGTCGTGCATGCATATGAGTATGTAACACCTCTCTCTCTCTC